TGCAAAAGCACGTCTTCATCAATCTGTTGCAGCTAAAGAAGCTGAGCTTGCTACCTTAATGGCTGCTCTTGGCGAACTCAACGTTAATTCACCGGTATTGAGCACTTCTCTCTCAGTGTGGAAGCTTTTATCATAAATGATTTATCTTCCAAACCCCTCTTCTTCCCCTTGTGTATATTTTCCTTTCATATGGTACTAGTACTGCTTCTTCTTCTTGGCTGGGTACTTACTTTCATCAAATTCACCAAATATCTATAAACTGATTTCTTGCTTGTAGCCTTATTTTTGGCGATACCCCAGCTCGTGCAAAATGGATATAGTAGATGCTATTGTTACTTTTGCCGTATGGCTCAGAGGTTCTTCTGGGCTGTTATGTTGTATCTTTTCTTAAGCAGTTAGCGTGATTGAACAGCCTATGATTTCAAAATCAAGGGCAGATCTTCCCAATAACAGGGATCTCAAATTGAGATGATATTACCTTATCAAAAAGAATCTTCTGAATAGAAGTGGATCTCGTAAATGGGAAGGCGAAACTGCACAAGTTTTGTTGGTGTGAAAATATATAGGATGATCCATCTCATGATTTCTTATTTTCCAAAACGAAAATATTGTTTTAGAACCAAACAACTTCAGTTTTGGTTTTTGAAAAACTTTCTGGAATCCTTTGGAACAACTTATCCTATTTTTTGCTTGTTAATTCTGCTTTTCTGGTTAAAACAGATACAGTCAGAGAAAAAATCAGCTTCACTGAAGGAGCAGCTTGGGTTAATCATGCCTCTTGTAGATGATTTAAGAGCTAAGAAAGATGAAAGAGTTAAGCAGTTCGGAGATATAAAGGCACAAATTGAGAAAATAACTGGTGAGATTTCAGGGTGTTGTAATATTGTCAATTCTCTGAGTAGCTTAAACTTGGAAGAACATGACTTGTCGATGAGAAAGCTCTCGGAGTGCCAATCCCATCTACTTGCTCTCCAAAAGGAGAAGGTATGCATGGACTAAACTGTATTTCGTGTTATTTTTTAATATTTTTAAAGAATCCGATTACAATTTTCATTTCTGCTGAAGCTTATCTTAGAAACATTGCGACAGGCATGTTTCTTAAAGTTACAATATTAAATGACTGAGTTACCCTCAACTGAGGATATTCTTCTGTCAAAGGCCACTGAGTTAACCATCATGAATGGTGCATTTTTGTGGTTGTCTTTCTTTTAGCAAATTAAATAATAGATAATTTTTTCTGCATGCAGTCTGTGCGGATCCAAAGAGTTCTGGATAGTGTGAATGAGGTTCACACTTTGTGCGGTGTACTTGGGCTGGATTTTAGCAATACTGTAAGTACTGTGCATCCAAGCTTGCATGAGACAAACCCCGGACAATACACAAACATCAGTGACAGCACATTGGAAGGTCTAGACCAGGCCATCCTTAGATTGAAAACAGAACGAAAAGTTCGATATCAGAAGGTATTATATTCCTAGGCATTGTACTGTCTTTTATGTACTCCCCATCTAATCACATCAATAATGCAGCTAAAGGATGTGGTGGGATCGCTGTTTGAGCTTTGGAACTTGATGGATACTATGAGAGAAGAAAGGAGTAAGTTATCAAGGATCATTTCCGTTCTTGATATTTCTGAATCAGAGGTTGTGGAGCCTGGTGCGCTTTCATTAGAGGTTATTCAACAGGTCAGCAAGCACTTACCACCTCTTTTAATTTTTCGCTATCTCTTGCTCTGTTGCCTTTTTTTTTTTGGTTAAGTTTCATTTCCACCCTCATTGCTTTTCTCCTCGAGTGATTTGACACAAAGAATAATTCCCATGTGAGTGATTATCGAAGAAGAGAGTGCATATACCAGTTTACTGGACTGATTTCCAGAAATGCAACCACTAGTATGTGCATATATACATATGTACTCAAATGGCAAATATGCTCAAGTAGTGATCACTTGAGGTTGATGAATTCTCAGGCTGACTATAGAAATTGAAATTTGTCTATTACATTGGTTTGAAATTGATAGGTATCAGCAGAAGTTGAGAGGCTTAACAAATTGAAAGCAAGCAGGATGAAGGAGTTGGTCATGAAAAGGAGGGCAGAATTGGAGGACTTATGCTACAAAACCCATATTCAACCTGATCAAAGTACTGCTGCTGATAAATCCAGTGCAATGATTGACTCTGGTAAGTCATTTGATCTTAGATTCATTAAGTGCTCTGTTCATCTGAACTTCCAATGCACAGAAATGAATCCAATCTCCATTTGAAGGTCTTGTGGACCCTTGTGAACTCCTAGCAAATATTGAAGCACAAATAAACAACGTGAAGGACGAAGCTTTAAGCCGAAAAGAAATTATGGATAGGATAGAGCGGTGGCTTTCAGCATGTGATGAGGAAAACTGGCTTGAAGATTATAACCGGGTAAGTAAAAGCTAAGTAATTGATTTCTTGTAGCCAATGATATTAGTTGATCTAAAAGCTCCATTCCCCACTGACCGACGCTTCTAGTACCTTTTGTTTTTATTGTTGACAAAAATTTACATCGACAAAAGTTTGATTAGTTTTTGATTATCAGGATCATACACGTTACAGTGGTGGAAGAGGTGCTCACATAAATCTTAAGCGGGCAGAACGAGCTAGAATTACAGTGACTAAGATTCCAGGTATTCTACTCTAGCTCTTTCACTGGTGTCATATAATCCTGGATCATTAGTATAAATGGAACTCAATGTCTTTTTATGCTCAGGTATGGTTGACGGTTTGATTAACAAGACACTAGCTTGGGAAGATGAGAAACAGAAGTTGTTTCTGTACGATGGGGTGAGTTCTTTTGCAGCTACATGTTGCTAGATTATTTCTTTCGTTGCTACTGTCGATCAAGTGAACTTGGCTTTACTTGTAGGTGAGATTGGTGTCAATATTGGAGGATTACAAAGTTAGTCGACATCAGAAAGAAGAGGAGAAGAAACGGGCCCGGGTACTTTCAAATACCCTCATTTACTAATAAATGCTGATTTGGTTTACGAAACATTTGTATGTAAGGGGATGCACAATATCAAAAACTCACTGGAATGCTATTATCTTTTCTTTTACACAGGATCAGAAGAAGCTCCAAGATATGCTGCTGGCGGAGAAGGAATCTATATATGGTTCTAGACCTAGTCCGAGAAGAAGCAGCAGCTTTAGGAAGACGAATGGATACCATGCAAATGGAAACGGGTCAGTTACCCCCTCGCCACGCCGGAACTCAGTTGGTTGTGCAACTCCAGAGCTTTCAACACCCCGTTCCTACTCTGGGCGGCAGAATACCTATTTCAAGGAAATGCGAAGACTATCTACTGCCCCCCTCAACTTTGTGGCCATAGCAAAGGAAGATACGATGTCATTTTCCTCCATTGGTGGTTCTGAGCCAGAATCCCCGCCTCAAGGCTGAATTCACAACTTGAGTAGGTAAGCCTTTCCCTTTGTTTGATGTACTTCGTCGAACTTTGGAAATTTTAACATGTCAAAATTCGCTGTGAAACTTTGGGACTTCAAGATCTTCTTTTGTGATGTTTGAAGATAAGAATCGCGTCCTTGATAACTTAAGCAAACAAGGAGTTGGCGATCCTGTCACTGTTTTTCCGTTGTCTCTTCTGTGATCTCCTCTTATTATGCTGTAATGTCTTAACTTATTAGTTTTTAAGTGCATTCAAACTGCATAAAAGTTTTTCACACTTATTAGTTTTCACGTTATAAATGTCTTTGCAGGGAGATGATCGAGTAATCTTCCTAATTCCAAGGCAACATAACAGAAGAAGGATATACCTCAGAACATGTGAATACTGAAGGGATTGTACACTACTGTAATGCTGTAAAGTGTTAGGCAGTTCTAGCACTTAGTGACTTTTTTTGTTAGTGACTTTGCTGGGTACTATAGAGATTGTTGTGGATATATTAGTGATATGGAAGTTCTCTGTTTGAATAGAAGCTCACTGACCAATATGTACCTTGAATATTTTCTTTTTGTTAGTCATTTGCATGTACATATAGTGGAATGTGATTGCTATGATTTGATTAGGAACCCCTCTTTATTTGGATCGTGTAATTTAGGACCTCTAAAATTTCTAGCTCCCAATAAAGCTTGTACCATTCAAATGTTCACTGATCATTCTTACTCGTGTTTGTTTGGGTGAAATTGAATTTCTCTTAATGATTTACTGATAATCAGTTGGTGTTTGGACGTTTTAACCTTCGACCTTTTAATGAAATTGAAATTGCTTAGCTTGTAATAGTTTTAAATACATGAAAATAATGTCATTCATTGAAAAGGGGGGAGTTGATGGTAGACTAAAGAGAGAAACAAAGGACAGCCCAAGGATCCGGGGAAGGGCCGGACCACAAGGATTTATTGTACGTAGCCTTAAACTGCATTTCTGCAAGAGACTTAAGAGAGAGAAACATACAAATAGCCAATACAACACATCAATGATCTTAAAGTGACAAAATAAATTCGATGACTTAGTAAATAAAAATTGTAAGTTGGATGATAATTGAGAAATTAACTCCAGATATGGAAACAATGAAGCTAGGCTTGACACTGAAAGTAGCAGTAGTAATTAACATTCTCTATCCCTAAAAGGGACAATAATAGTCAAAGTCTTAATGTCACTCAGTAAACTAGTGGATTGCAACCAAGATAGTAATTCTTCCAACTTCCACTTAATGCTAACGAAAGACAACTCGTTGGAAACATCTTCTATGTCAGAATCAAAGAAAAGAGATAACTTTCAAGACACTACAATGGGTGCTTGACATGCCAAATGATGAAGATACAATGCACTAAACTGGAGAGAAAGTAGTTTACCAGTACTATATGCTAAAACACCAAAAGAGAAACTATTTTATCCAAATGAAGAAAACAAATGCGCGAAGTAGTGGAACAAAAAATAACAATATAAGGTTGTAACAGAATTGCACGAGCATTTAGGTCTAACCTCCATTCTGAGAACAAAAACATGCAGCCCGAGCAGACAATGCATCTTTCTACCATTGGAAAATCATAAAAGAGGAATCTTGCTTAGCAATAACAAATAAATAGGTACTCCCATAAACTTCTACAAATTTACCTATCATTGATGACTATAAAGATCTAATATAGTATTTGTACAAGAACCTATTGGATGATCACTTCTGCTTTACTAGAGATAGCTTGTCCATGTAGTTTCTTTTGGATTGAGTTACGTTGTCTTCCACTGAATGGAACGTCCAAATTGTTCACCCACTTACCACAACCCAAATAACAGCTGTTCCCTCGGCCGAGAAGCATTTGCTCAAGATTTATTGCACTTCTCAGAATATAAAGAACAAATTCAATCTCTGATCCTGTTCCATCAAATCCACAAAATATCACTTCTTTTAGTTCAGTGTGACATGTAGGAGACAAAGGAGGCTCTCTACTTCCTTTTCCATTCCTCTTTGTCCTTGGTGTTGTCACCTGAGGTCACAATGAGAATGAGATCAACATATTGCTAAGTGATCAAGACGACTTACATAGTTTAGCAAGCTGCAATACAAGCATTTAACTGAACTAAGAGTAATTTCTAAAGCAAAAACATGGACGGTAAGGAATATACTCAGAGTACATTATCCCTAGTTTACCATTGATTAATACTTGTTTATTGGTGTAAACATGACTTGATAAGAGTGAAACGATGTACTAATCATATTAACTCTCTTCATTAATTTATGTGGATGAAGCAAAATATAGTAGACAAGCCATTTCAAACACTAAGTTTATCAATCTACAAAACAGTCCTTGTCAAATATATCATCAAGAGCACCTTATTTTTTTAGTAAATAGTATTAAAAGAACCGCATCTAAGTTTAATATTTAAAATGTCGGAGGAAGACACTGGTCGGAACCAAAAGTCACTACCAGCAAACTATGGGCAGTTTTGAAGAAAACCAGAATGAGATTCCAACAAGCAACAAAGTCAGAAAATAGGTTCACAAATCTGAGTTTCGGACCTTTGGAGATTTAGAAGGACCTGTGGGTATTAAGAAGCATGTAATGGGCACATGCAGGCTTCAAAATTGAGAACTGGGGAACAAGGGCTACGGATTGATGGGCAATACACTACCATGAAGGAAATGCGGTACTGTTCGAGAATTCAAGGGGCTGTTTCAAATTTCAAAAATATCTAAGATAACAGATGGGAGACAGGTGGTAGGGCAAGGAAAAGGCCTGAGATGCCGTTGGTTACTAAGTATATGCTGAAGCCAACTATTTTTCGCCTATATCCGGAATTTGTAATGGCTCCCAATTTAAAAGGAAAAGGGCCAGGGAAAACCTTTTGTCCCCGAAACAAAGCCCCAAGTAAGACCAGACCCAGCTGAATTATGTTTTAAGACAAAAGACTCGTTTTTGACGCAGGTCAAGACTGATCTAGACCCTTTTCTGGTCGAAACAGAGGCTTCGACCAAGTTCCATCACAGGAATTCATCTTCATTTTCTCAAAATTATGTATTACAGCATGATAATCCAGATGACATGCAGGCCGTCGGAGACTACTACCTGGGTCAAAATGATGATTACACAAGCAATTGATGAAGATCAATTCCCTTTAATAGAATGGTATGAACAAGAGGGGGAGGCCCCAACTTTATCTAGAGAGGCCGAAGCAACTGCTGGGTTTGCAGAAACATTTTGAAACTTTGCAAACTGATGGGACTAGATTTTGAAGGTTCGAAAGGGCAGCAATGCAACTTTTTACAAAAAATGACAACAAAAGACAGCTGAGGCCTCAAAAATCACCTGCAACAGAAGTCTTGTGAAGCTGGAGAAGAAAAGGTTTGCCTAAAGCAATGAAGAGTGAAGACCAATATGGAACACCATTCCAGCATGTATTTGGTGGTGCATATGGAGAGAAAAGAAAGAGAAAAAATTTTGAAGGAAAAAGCAGCTCTACTGTGAAGATAAAAACTGATAGCTTCCTTTTGATTTCCTTTTGGTGTAATTCAGAATTTGTAGATGAAGCTGAGACCCTGTTACAGTTCATAGATTTACTGCATACATAGTCAATGGTTCTTTTGGGATGTAATATACTGCACAATCTTTGTGCCTTTCGGTTTATAATACACATACCATTTCAAAGAAAAGAACAAACCAAACACTCCTACACCTGAGGGTTTACCCAAAATATATATAAAAGACCAAGCAAAGAATATCCAGAATATCCAAATAAGAAAAAGACGAAGATGTTGAACATAAATAACTCACCACCAGAGCCAAATATTGAAGAAGAGGACAGGCATCCAAGAGCGGGGATAGGTTGACTATGTCAAAACAGTCATGCGTGCTCACAAGTATCAAGCTTAACCGCCTAAGGGTTCTGAACATCTTCATTTCCGTTGGGAAGTAGTTAACCTGAAATGCACAATATGAAAGAATAGCTAAATGATTAGGGTCTACAAAAAGACAACGACTAAAACTTTGAGAAGACAAGACACGTCAAATTAATACCTGAGACGGAACAAGTTTGATTGTTAAAGATTGAACCTGAGCGGGTAAATCTCTCGCAAGATCATCAAATACATATGACACTGTATCGTCTTCAAGAGGATGAATTATTACATCTTCCAACACGGGAACAAATGAGAAAAAGAATCTTACTTTGTTAAAAAGTTCACTCTCAAGCTTACGAAGATTTGCACCCTGAAGCTCAATCTCTTCCACTCCGCCACAAGCCCAAAAAACAACAAAGGTTACTGAACCAGAGATGCGTAGCTTATAAGGAAGTTTACAAAGTCGAAGAGCTAACAACTTAAGGTTAAAACAAGAGGACAAAATGCCCTCCAGTTGTCCGCTAGCTAACAAAGCACCCCTTAAAGTAAGGCTCACAAGGGAATTAAAACAGACTTCAGAACTTGGTTGCACAATGCAATGGTGCAAAAGCAAATGTTTCAACGAGGATGCTTGAGAGAGAAGCTCAAGAGAAAAATTGAACAACTTGCTGGGGTCGCAGATGGGGTTGGTGCCAAGAGTGAAGGGAGCAGTGCCACAATCAAAGTAAAGGTATAACGTTTCAACATCTAGTCGTGAAATAGAATGCATCAAGCGGTTAAATTCACTATAAAACTTTCTCGCAAAGCAACATGCCATATTAATGCAGGGCACTCTACGACCTGAATAAAGTTCTAGTAACTCGTTTACTCCTTTCAAGAACTTTTGTTGATAGTAAGGGTACCACTCATGATCATCACGGTAAACCCCGTACATGTCAAGGCAACTGAAATTTAATGCGGGCATAGAAGAAAAGAGACGCTTCCACCTTCTGGATAAAATGCTCGTCCTAACAGCATCTATTACTGTCAAATTTGCAAGAATGGAAGACAAAACTGCATCTGGGGTAGCTGACTGATGTGTCCTCCTTTGCATTATGAACCTAAAGTGCCAACAAAAATGTTTAACCAGGAATTTAATAGAAGCCATATATTATAGAAGAGCTAGAGAAATTGTATGCCCCTTCCTCGGCTTATGGGGAAATTTGCTACTCCCTCTGTTCTCGTTTATTTTACATTTTCAAATTTGGAAATAATTTAATATAAACTTTCAATTTTAACCTTAATAACAAGTTTTTATCGCCACACAAATGTCATGGCATGTTTAAGATTGTAAGTTTCAAAAGTCTTATAGCCAGATAAAAGCTATGTCATGTTAAAAATCACAAGTTTCAAAAGTCTTCATTTTTTTCCTAAACTACATGCCAATCAAACTTTGCCTCATATTTTGAAACAGAGGGAGATCACTTATTGTTTATCAAGCAAAATATGTATAACAACATTTACTACTATTACTGCGGCTCTGACCCAAACAAGTTAGGAGATATTGCAAAATGTGTATACAACAATAACTACTACTACTAGCTCAGTCCCAAACAAGTTAGGAGTTATAGCAAAATGTGTATACAACAACTACTACTACCGCTCGGTCCCAAACATGTTAGGAGATATAGCAAATGTGTATACAACAACTACTACTACTACGGATCAGTCCCAAACAAGTTAGGAGATATAGCAAAATGTGTATACAACAACTACTACTATGAGTCAGTCCCAAACAAGTCAGAAGATAAAGCAAAATGTGTATACAACAACTACTACTACTACTCAGTCCTAAACAAGTTAGGAGATATAGCAACATGTGTATACAACAACAACTACTACTATTACGGCTCAATCACAAACAAGTTAGCAAAAATAGCAAAATGTGTATACAACAACAACAACTACTACTATGGCTAAGTCCAAATAAGTTCGGGGATATAGCAAAAAAATGTGTACGTGATAGGTTAAAGTAAACAAGTTTACCAAATTGTTAATTAATCGTCTTGCACTTGACCACAAAAATAGAGCTTTTCTCCTAGGTCTTTTCCCGTAATAATTTATCAAAAAAGCGATGCCGATTCCTCCTAATGTCATCAATGGCAAAATCACTCGTCCTCCTCCTCCTGACAACAACAGAATATTATTATTATTAACTTAAGTTATCAGAATAATTCAACTAAATATCAACACGTTAATGGAAGAAAATGTTTACCGGGAATGACTATGACTCGATTGGCCGACGCCATGTCTGTTAAATTTGAATTAGAAATTCAGAACCTTCTTCCCCAAGTCAGGCTAGATTATGTATTATGGTCAAAAATCAGGAAATGAGTGCAAATGGTAAAATTGGTCTTTCTATTGTTTGCTTGATCGGAGTTTCGTCACTGACTTCACAGGGTTCAAAAATAGCCAGATTTACAAGTAGTGTTCAAAAATAGCCCAATTTCATAAGCAATCGAAATTTAGCCACTTCTTACGTAAAGATAACTTTGAGCGAAAATAATGTTCGAAACCCGAAAAATACGTCAGTATATTATGTTGGAGTTCCAACATAACTATACTTAATTCCAGCATAAGTATACTAGAACTCCAGCATAATATACTGGAGTTCCGGCAAGTATACCGGTCCACTATAATATGCTGGAAGTTTATACACAAGTACTCGAATCTCCAGTATATTATGCTGGAACTTTCCCTGTGTTGGAGTTCAAGCATAATATGCTGTAAGTTCATACACAGGTGCACCGAACTCCAGTATATTATACTGGACCGGTCTTTATTGCAGCAAAATAGTGGCTATTTTTCATTGACTTGGTAAATGCTGACTATTTTTGAATGACCAGTCCGAAAACTGGCTAGACGTGCTATTTTTACGACGTTCACACCGTGCTTGACAAGCAAACCCTCTATTTTTACTTCAGCAGGGAGCCCTCTTTTTCAAAAACAATTCTTTCCATTTCTTTTTTTCTTGGTTTTTTAAACAACGGGAACACTCCTTATTTCGTTTCTCTTTCCTTTTTATTTCTTTTCTTGTTTTCCTTTTCCTTTTCTTTTCTTCTTTTTGGATTTTGTTTTCAGCTATTCTTTGTTCTTCCTACTCTACTCCCGGGCTCCTCCTATATTTTTTGAGAATTGAGATGAAAAAAGATATTAAGTAATATAAGGGTTAATTAATTTAATTAAAAAATAATATTATTGAAATTAAGTTATCTTTTCACTAAATTATCTAATAATTATCGTGTTTTTTATATATTTTTTTTATGAAGTAAGTAGGACATCAAGAAGATGCAAAAAGGTTACAAAAGAAGTGAATTTGTCAGTTTATTACAATTTAATGCTTTCTACAGTTTATTTTCTTCTAATTTTATTTGAAAGGAGGAAAATCAAGAGAGATTGCGATAAGAAGGGTATAAATTTCGCTATGTGCTAGGATTAAACGATTTTCTATAAATAATTCGTTCAATCACTATCGTACACTATACTTGACTTGAAAATCTTTTTAGCAATAACATTACTAATCGCAATTATTTGGTCAGTTGTGGAAATAAGCATCGTGAATACCCTTTTATATAAGACAAGACAATTATCGAGGATCGAAGAAAGTTATTACATTAAGTCGAGAGGGACTTATAGAAAGCAAAAAACGTACACCTTTTTACGCCAAAATTTCACGGTATAGTCAGTTTTCGGACTGGTCAATAAAAAATAGTCAGCGTTTACCAAGTCAATGAAAAATAGCCACCGTTTTGCTGCAATAGAGACCGGTCCAGCATAATATACTGGTGTTCGGTGCACTTGTGTATGAACTCCAGCATATTATGCTGGACCGATATACTTTGCTGGCTCCAGTATAATATACTGGAGACTGGAGCACTGGTGCTCCAAACTCCAGTATATTATACTGGACCATTATACTTGCTGGAACTCCAGTATATTATGCTGGAGTTCTAGTGTATTTATGCTGGAACTCCATCATATTATGCTGGAGTTCCAGCATACTATCCTGGAACTCCAGTATAATATGCTGGAGTTCAAGTATACTTATGCTGGAACTCCAGCGTAATATACTGGAGTATTTTTCGGGTTTTGAACAGTGTTTTCGCTCAGATTTATCTTTGCATAAAAAGTGGCTAAATTTCGATTACTTTTGAAATTGGGCTATTTTTGAACGACCAGTTGTAAATCTGGCTATTTTTAAAAATCACCCCCTTTTTACACACTCTCCCAGAGACGAATCCAGGATTTGAAGGTTGCGGGTGTCACTATATATATATAGACACATACACCTACCACTAGCCAGAAAGACCGAATAGGAAGAATGGATGATTCAGTTAATTTTTGGTTAATCCAGTTAGGTATTTTATTTAAAAGAGGAAAATAAGTTCGATTTTAGTTCAACTTTTTACGCTTGATTTACTAATTTCGGAAAAAAGTACAAAAAAAAAACATTTCATGAAAATACGCCTGCAATTAGAAAATTTTCTTAAAGAGTAGCTTAATTACTATATAATTTTTGTTTGATTTGATTAATTGATCATTATTCTTGGGTTAATTTTTCCAATTTAATTGTTGCGTTACATGACAATTATTTCCAAAGCCAAAATTTTAAAGTTATTAATCTATGAGAATCAACTTAAAACCTCTACTAATCGAGACATAGTTTTCAAAAGCCAACAAATAATAATGCTCAAATTATACTCTAAATATATAAATTAACGTTGTATTACTAAAAAGAGAGAAACAATATATTACTTAGAATTTTGAAATTATTCATCGAAAGAAATTGCTTATGAAATAAGATATAATTGTAGGAAGCAAAATGAAGGTGAATATAAAGAAATTTAAAAAAAGAAAGAAGATAGAGGGATTTAGTAGCAAATAACAGGAAGAAAAAATGGGGGTGGGGGTAGGGATAGGGGTGGGTGGGGGGGGGGGAGGAAAAGGAAAAGGAAAGGAAGAAGAAATAAGGACCCAAGGCCCAATAGAGAATAAAGGAAATCTAGGGCTAATATGTAGGAAAAAGAATTTAAAACAAAAGAAAGGGTAAAAACGATGGCACCCACATGTAATTTGTGTAATTTGGGTGCCACTTTATGTATATATAACATTTTTCATAGATATCACCATATTTATTAAGAATTTTTGCCGATTCGTGCGGGTGGCATGCCACCCCGATCGACAAGGTAGATCCGCCCTACACTCTCCTTTCTTTGCTATCATATCAACCAGTCAATCAGTATTTTTTTTAAACACCAAAATTACAACAATAAGAAAAGGAAAAGAATTCTTTAGAGTTTTGTGTCTGAAAGCGGGCAGTTGCATTTTATCAAGTAGGTAACGCCCCAAAGCATTCTTTGGTAAGTCCCTTGGATAAAAAATTACCATGTCCTGTCCGCTAGAGCCCAACTTTGCTAATACATCCGCAACTTTGTTCCCTTCTCTAAAACAGTGAGAGATATGAATGTTGAGTTGTTGGATGATCTTTCTGTTTGCCTTGATAATAGATTGTAACTGCCATGGTGGGTCTGCCTTTCCTTGCAACATTTGTATGACTATCATGGAGTCACACTCAAGATTTATTCTTTCGTACCCGCTTTCCTTGCACCACTGAACGCCGTACAAGACTGCCTTTGCCTCTACATAATTATTTGTGCCATTGTCAATTTGTTGTGAGAAAGCCATTATCAATTTGCCCTCGTGATCCCTTACAATACCACCTGCTCTAGAGCTTCCATCTTTCAGGCTACTCCCATCAATATTTATCTTAATCCAGTCCCTTGCAGGTTTACCCCATTTAACAATAATGTTTCTAATTCTAGAGAGCAAAGATAGAATTCTATCACAAAAGGATTGCCACTGCATATGTCCTTCTAGGGCATATTTGCTTCATAATCACCCACCTGAGGTGTGTTAAGATATAAAAATGAACCCTAGTTGCAGAGATTCTTTTACCTCCATATCTTGTCGTGCATCTAGCCTTCCATAATTCCCAACAAATAGCAATAGGGGAATTTTCATCATCAGTTGATGTACACCATTGCTGGCTTTGATACTCCACCACTTGGACAACATATTAATGACTACTGACTAGGCAGTCTTCTACCTAATACCTAACGACCCTCCAATGGACCTCCAGGTATTTCTAGCTAAATCACCAGAGATAAAAGTATGCATTAAAGTTTCTCTCTGTGAGATTCTACAACAACCATATCTAGATACTATAAGCCGTCCAAATCTAGCTATAATTTCATCAAAGCTCATTCTTAGTTAATCTTAACATTAAGAAAGACATTTTAAAAGGTAGAAATCTACTCCAAATTTCTGTTAACATAGGGGAACATATTTTGGGTTGTCTAACCACTTGCCAATATGATTTTGTAGAGAATTGACCTGATCGGGGATGGCCTCCAGATTCGTATATCAGGACTTGCAGGATCTCTCTCACATCCATAATCATTCTCCTATCAGGATTTTTCTCCAATTGAACTTTACTGGCTAAAGCTCCAATCGTAGTCCAATTGCCCCACCATTGGAAGGTTGGGCATCACATTGCACACACTTGAATACTTGATGAAACAAGAAAGTTATCTCTTCTTCTCTTATTCTATTACTTATTTTCTTATTTTATATTGTTACTTAGAGCTACATTTCTTAACATAAATTACATTGTTCACCGTCAATCTATTATTTTACGGTATATGTGAAAATATACTAATTAAATAATTATCTTCTTCTTTTATATTGTTACTTTGAACTACGTTTCTTAACAAATTACATTATTCACTGTCAATCTATTATTTTACAGTATGTGAAAATATACTAATTAAGTAATTGTATTGGTAAAAGTAAATATTACACGTGGATTTATATAAGTGGCTGATGTGGTGGATCACTAAGAAAGCAACATTTGGAGAGATGCATTAGAAGAGGCACGAGTCGTAATAGGTACAAGAAAATCACCCACGAGATAAAAGGCTATGGTCGCACGAGTCTGAATTGTTATATGAAGAGACACCGGCATAATGAATCAAGACAGTAAAGAAGGAAGATTCATGAATCGTCAATTAATGTGCATGAATGATCATAGATGTTACAGAATCTTCATGAACAGTTACTATTGCCAATTATAACGTCTCATTAATATTCATATTGATTCAGTCATAAAAGGGAAGAAACGTTGTACTTATAGATTCCTATTTAAGGGAAAGGAATTTCACTTGTAAAGGCATGTTCTGATTATTAGTGGAATACAATTACTTACTTTTGCTTTCTATTGATTACTTTGCTATTTCATATTCTAATTTCCTTTCTTACCACCGAGAAAATATAGAATTTCTTGATTATCAGTAACCCGAGTACTTATAAAAATAAGCTTTGACT